GAGTCATCGACGGTTCATCGATAATAATCGGTCGATCCTGCGAGGCCGTTTATCCGGTCCCATTTGATTTGTTTGGAAACGCTGATTTACTTTATTGTTCCTTTCAACGCGTAAATCCTGCAGGTTCTCAATTCAAATGGCACTTTCTCTCCCGTGCCACCAGATATTTTGTTCTGTCATTAGTCGAACCGCACAGAAACGCGGAAACCGCTAATTCTCTGTGATTTTCATTCGATTTATCGCGTTATTCCATCTAGGCGACCGCGTTCAACTTGCATTCTATCGCGGACAAGAGTCTGTTTTTGCCTTTTAATGGAACAGCGCGAGTGTTGCAAGCAAACGTTCTCTACGTCTCCGGTAATTACCCAGAATTCGATATTCCCATATCAAGTAGTTCCGTTACTCGCGAAACGTTTCATTAAACGAGACAAATAAAAGGAAACCATTGGCGCTCGTAGTACGAGTCGAAAGTACCTATACGAAATCTGTAATTGCCACGCTGCGAATTTTTCTTGAAGATAAAATATTTCGCGACACCAGCTGGAAGGATGCATTTCAGACAGAAACTTCTTTTATAATTTAAACATTGCACAAATTACATGCTATCTTTGTATCTTTCACGCGGATACAAATTCTCCTGTAAATGCATCAAATCCGCAGTCTACTAATTACAAATGTCTCGCACGACGTTCGTTATTTCTTGCGACTCTTGAGAGCTGATAACAGTGATTGGAAACTTAATGGTAACTGATTAAGCCATTTTCTACAGGAAGGAGGTGGGTAATAATGGCACTTAGAAGAATTAGAGCCGCAGTTACCAGTCGCTCCTTGGGAGAAAGTTGCCTAATTATATCCTTATTAATTATAGAAATTTAACAATTAGGTTAATAGATCTCGATCTTAAACGTTCGATAGTTGTTGGTTATTTAAAATTCATCGATATCGTTGCACGCAGTTGAAATCAGATTTCGTAGAGCGTTCGTGCGTAGATATTGTACGAATGGTTACAGTCGATGGAACTGAGATAGCAAGGATAATGCAGCCTAATGCAAACGGCTAACTGGTAACCTTTCGATAAGCGGGATGCACGTGAATAGTTGGCTAACGATCTCCGATTTTCTACCAATAGGAAACACTCCGTTCAATTTAGATAAACAAAACTTCCGGGTACGCATCTGCGGTTGAAAACCAATCGCAAGATCATTTTATATCCTTCACTATTTATCTGCAACGTTCCAATGATGCAACGTACATTGATTAAAAGATATTCAGAGGAGGTATAGTAGCTCAATAGGAAATTTGAAGGCACGAGGCTTGAGAACCACTTTGTACGCGACGTATGAGATTGTCAGGCATTAAAGTCACTGGGAGTAGGTATCATGCATCACCCCGGGGATTTACGTCAACCGCAACGAATTCTCTTGTCGATGCCGAGGGCTGGCAGCGGTTTTCGTCTGAAAAAGCGTTATCTGAAAACCCTCACGATTTCCTGTCACTCGTTCCGTCGCTGAGTGTAACAAACCTGACACGGATTAAGGTTGCAAGCTTTCTAAAAAATGCTTCTACGTCCACTTACATGGATCTTGATCCTATCAACTGTACTTATATCGTTTATGAATCTTACTCTAACTCCTACGAATGAACTGTATTCGATGGTCAGTGTGAGAGAGCGGTCGAATTTCGAGATTTGAACAATTTTGCACGATTCTAGGACCACCCGAGAGTTTGTTTCACTGGAGGCTCGCATCCTTCTCATTGAATTCCAAAGGGAGGGGTAAGCTGATTTAAATATAAATCACGTTAAGATCGTCCGATGCGGGGTTTACGATCACAAATTACAACGAGTCACAACCAATGCAGCCGGTTAATGGGGGTTTAACGCTCAATGAAATTACGATGTAACTCGGAAAAGAGAAATAATGAATGCGCACGTATCGAGAAGCCTCTTTTTAACGTTGCCTACCAGCTACGTTCTGTCGTTACCCTCACAAGCAACGCGTTTAAGTAGACACTGGTGATTTAAGCTTAAATGAAACTCCGTTATCGGATAAGCTTTTAATTGAGGATACACAGTTGCATATTGAAAGAATTTGCAATTTAAACTCGCGGCCGAGGTATAATTTACGACGGCCCAGTGATTGTGAACGCAACTTAGTGGGACATTCTCCCAAAAACGTGTCACACCTAATTATAACCTGGGCGAAGCTCCAAAGCGGAAGCATGACCGAATGAAATTTCATCGGTAAAAAGAAGATGATGTTAAAGATTATTGCGAGGGGCAGCTGGGACCACTGGAAGCGACTTACAACTGTAAAAGGATCCGCTTTGGGCGGTGCTGTCGGCGCGCGTAATGATCGATCAGCGGCCGCGAAGGGGCGTCGAATCGCGCGGACTTTCGAGAATCTCGACGTACCGTGAAACCGATTTCAACGGTCGCCTCCGAAGAAAGAGAATATTATGCAAAGTGGAGCAACGTTATTCCTTACACCATCGAGAAAAATTCTTCTTTAAGAACGATTCCGATACTTTTGAACTGCACTGTACCCGCGTATCTAGAATTGCAACTACCGTTGTATGTTTTGAGTAATTTATGATAATGAGTTGCACCAGTGGCACGAAACTCAATTACTCGTAGTGGTAGTTGCACGAAAATTACGGTGTACCGGTAATTGTTCCCAGCACGTAAAGGTCTCGGATGAAGTGTACACTTTTTCACTGGGTCTAGATTACGCTTATCGGCTATTTGAAGCGGGAAGGGTCTTGAAATTGAATCACTCGTGACTCGATTCTGTGTAACATTCATTAGCACATGCATTAAATTATAGTCAAGATCAAGAGAGAGATAAACATTCCGAAGTTCTCAGCTTGGTGTCATTTCCAAATTCGAACACTAATAACAGCTGTATTCTGTACTAGACTTCATTTTGAAAAAAAGTATAGCAAATGAACGAATGCTTCGTGTATATTTTCCATCGAGACAAAGAAAAGACTCGATTCCGTGGAAAAATTAGGAGACTTCGATCGATGGAGTGTTACTTTAGAAATGCTAGCAGGTCTCATCATGTGAAGGTGATTACAGTCGAGACCCGAGCAGTAGACAATAGCCACTGCTTACTTCCCATCTTTTCCCAGCAGCTGCAACATCTTCACTAGCCGTCCGCGCGATTATGTCTTCTCGAAATCACAGAACAGGCTCTCCGGGTTCGTTCGCCGCCCATCGCGTCGACGCGTTCATCAAGAACGAAGAGGGTGCAGAAAATAACAAGAAGAATCCCCGGGCAATATTTCTCGTTTCGTACGACACGCTGCTTCTTACTTATTCAGATTTCATAGAACAAACAATATCGTTCGTCTGAAATAAGTAAAGCCGACTGAATCAATCTGCACAGAATAGGATAGTATTATTTAAACGATCATCTTCTGTGCTTTATCTTTAATCTGACCGATGGTCAAGCGTGGATCGTTTCGGCCATCGAGTCGCGCGATGCATTCCAATGCAAATAACCGTTGCCTCGGGAACGCGGCGTAATCGTCGCAATTTTGTGCTTCGCAGAAATCCGACTCGCCCTCAACCCCAAATTGCCTCAAGCGTCGACCAGCCGCAGGCATCGCCCCTCCGAAGTATCCAACGTTTCTATTTAAAACTGATATCATACATACATCAAATATCAGATATTCTTAATATTGCTCAAAGAGTAAATCAGTATAAAAATTTCTATACTAAAGTCGCACATTCGTTCGAACATATAATATATTTATTGAAGCATCGCGCCTCTCACAATCAGTTGCTTTCGAGCCTCAAATTAGCCTTAAATACAGGCTCGTCGGCAAGTGTTAAAATGGAGCCGCTCCCGACGATCCATCATCGCTCCCTCGGGATCCAGCACCGCCGAAATTCAAATAAGCCCGAGGCGACGCGACGAAGCAAACAGTCGATACATTAAGTCTTGGCGATTGTATTTAAGACACGCGATTTATATAGGTACTATCCTGTTATATCGTAAAAATAGAACGTCGACGAGGAACAACCTGTCGAGCGACATAATTCAAACTCTATGCCGTTTCACCTTAACAATTCCTGTTACATCCGCCGTTACATAAATCTCCACCGGATTTAATCGCGGATGGAATGCCACTTCTCGTCTCGCGACCGTTTCTGGAAACCGTGCGGCCACACGAAAGGAGCTTGACTTATGGGATGTAAATTACGCAATGGACCGGTAGGAGGCTGAGAGAGTATCGCGTTTCGGCTTGTCGGCGGGTAATCGTTTTCAGTATGCCGTGATCTCGCAGGTTGCCTGTGAACATGTCGAAATAAAGGATCCGGGATGACGGATGGGCCTCGGGCCTTTTTTAAAACAGTCCCACCACAATTGTACAGGGCATTCCTTTAATACGTCGAATACCCTTTTACATACTCGTTAGCCCATTCACTCCCACGTGATGTCTCTCGCCAATTCGGTACATCATCGAAAATAAACGCGTATCTCATTAACACCATTACTATAAATCTCATCGAGTGACTCTCTACGCCATCAATAACCAAACGAAAGTAGCTAGACAAGCCATTTTCACTGAATCAATTTGCATAGAGGACAAAGATTGAAAAGTAGTCAGAAGGAAATTTGTAAGAAACCAGCCACGACTCTTTTATCCCACGTTCTGATAATCTTTTTCTCCGTAATGCACCTTTCTCGGCAAAAAAAAACCCACGGTCACCGTCTTGCATGATTCATATTGACGTTGCCTCGCTTCTTGGAAAGTGTGGGTGAACGATCGCGCGACTTTTACGAAATTTGATTGACAGATCTCTACCGAATGTTATAACAGCGGGATCAAATTAATTTCGTCGACGTACAATAAATACGCGATGTTTGTTCAAACTAATAGTTTCACTAGAGCACAGATGATTAATTAAACGAAACGTTTTTTAAGCAATTATTTCAATTAATAATTACAGATTATGTTTTAAAGGATTCAACGATATTTTTTGATCGCAGGGTGGTCGGAGCGGTTATGGTCGGCGCGGCCGTTTGCGGTCGCATCCCCGGCCTGGCTAAGAGTCAACGGGAGCAGTGCAGAAAGGCGCCGCACGCGATGCCGGCTGTGGGCGAGGGCGCGGAGCTGGGGCTGCGCGAGTGCCGGCATCAGTTCAGGCATCACCGTTGGAACTGTTCCCACGTGGCGAACGATCAGGTCTTCGGCCACGTGGTCATAGTAGGTAAGAGAGCAAGGATTGTCCTGTCACCGCGGCCGGCCCGCTATTTATTATACGCGCGCCGCGTTTTACCTCTTCGGTTCTTAGCTGTAAAAGGCCCCGGTAATGGATGCGAGGTATTTCGAGCACTCGCCCCGTTCATGCGGCATAAATGATTGCGCTCCACGCGAAAAGGGTCGAGCTACAGTTTTATAGAGTACCGAACGAGAATCATAATTGGTTGCACGGCTAATAGATAATAACAAACCCGTTAGTTTATATCAATTTACGGCACGACGTATATTTAAAAATGTACAATGTTAAATACGATAAAGTTTCGAAGCAGGCACTGGAATTAGGCAACTGAAATTTCTAATCTCCACCTAATTAATTACCGATTCAACTTCATCTGCATATGTATCGACCTACATGTAAAAGTTTGAGAAATCAATTTAATCGATTCGGTATTAAATTATTTAATCGAACACGTAGGTATCTGTTACTAAGATAAACGACTCGGGTGTCACGCGCGTGTTTTATTAGGCGATCGGACCTTTATCATGCTTAATGGTCTTTTCATTAACTATATCTTTAGGTTTCATCGTGAATTTATTAATGTACAATCTACGGCAGAGCTCGTCTAGCAGTTAATCATTTCCTATTGAAAATAAACGAGTCCTCGAGGCAGGTCGATGAAAAGAATTATTGGAGTTCGATGTAGGTAGAATTTGATTAGGACGAGAATTTCAATAAATTCCCTATACGTTTTCATAATTTTGTTCTGCATAATAACGAAGCAATAAATCATTATTAAATCCTGTGTAAACATAATTAAATACAGCGACGATTCAAGCTGCGTACGCCATTCATATTACATATGTTTGCCTTAAAACGAATTCATCCTGAATCTAAAAATGGTTATGCTCATCTTAAAACGTGCAGGAACAAAACTGTGCTCTTCGGTGAGGGTTTAAAGTGGTTGTGGGAGTAGAAAGCGGGTTTGGTCGATCTCCACGCCGATAAAATCCACGCTACCGCGGGCCACCGTTCCCTTTATCCCTCCATCTCGCGTCGTCCTCCTCTCCGAGCCTAATCCTCGTAAAAACGTCCGCGGTGAGCGCCCGTTGCCCGCCGACTCCCTAATTTGGAACCTTCGCTTCTGGATTTCAACCTCGCACCGCGGGAACCGTCGTTCCCTTACGTTGCAAAAGATAACTTGGCTACCAGAGAGTCTGTGCCACTGCGTTGAAGTCTCACAGCATCATCGTTATAGTAAAACACAGATACATTAATATATTCAGAATTTCTTACAATTCTCTATACGACTGCCTTGTCGATTCGTGAATTTTATTCCAGCAACAGTTTATGAATTTCATTTAACGATATAATTGTATCCATATTTCACGATACGAGACGCATCATTTTCACGTATAATTCGTGTAGTCGAGGGCGAGTAACTTATGCAGTCCGGGATTAAACAGGGACAAACGGCGAAAGCGATATGTCTCGGGCAGGAGATAATCCAGGTATTTCAGTCAAGAAGCCGACGTGATCCGATCGCATAAATATCGTTAAACGGAACGTATTTGTCATTGGCGTATTAAAAAACCGTAAGCGGCCGCGCGGTTTATAGGAAACAGGTAGACGACACGCACCGCGATTTCTCATGATTAACTCACCGGATTAAAAGGCCGGACGTGGGAAAGAGCGAAAGTCGGACGGCTGATTTATAAACGCCGGTTATTTGTCACTTGGCTTGTTCCCATTGAACGGAATACAATCGGACCCCCTTGAATTCCATAAGGATAAAACACGCGGGGTTCAAGCGATCCTTGTTTAACCCTTCGACCACTGAATTATGTCGCCAAAGGATTCTTTTTATTCGCCTGTAATATCGAGGATCCTAGGAGCGTGAGAGTTAAATTTATTTTATGGTTTAATCAAGTTATTTTTGCACTGTGAAACGAGGCATCGTACAACGAGCATTGCTACAATTATTCACAACATTCTTGCGTACAAATGAAATTTATTATGCTCGTCGATCAGCTTGGGGAGTCTTATGGTAGTGAATCACGCTCGCTGTTGGATACTTAATTCAACTTTGTCAAACGCAGCTGCTGCTGCTGCAGCAACAAAATTACTGAGTACTATACGATCTGTATGACAGTGTATACGCATGAGATTCAGTATATTTTGCATATAATACGTTATTACGGATACAATGAATTGAAGAAGACGCAAGACGAAAGAATGATTTATTTATTTTCAACGTATCGAACAAAATATAAATGAGACATCTTAATTATCTACAGGATAAAAGAGTAAATGAAACGAAACGGAAATAGCATGAATTAACGAGAGGGAGTAAAAAATATAAATAACGCCTGGCAAGACGAAGGAGCTAACTTAATTAGTGAAATTAACGGGGCCGCTCGACGCGGCGAACGTTAAGTGAGACGATTTTGCGCGGCCGAGATATTTCCCGGCTCGTAAAACGCTCGATGGAATCCGCGCGGCGTGTAGCTACTTATTTAGGAGAGGCTTCGAATCAAACGCGGCGATTAACGAGTTTCACATGCCGGCGTCGAAGTCTCCTCGGCTAGGTTGCACAACGTGCACTCGAAGATCCAGTAGACGGGTCTTGGAAATGTTCATTAACAAGATATAATCGAGTCCTTAGACAACATTGTTGCACCTCGATTCCCTCCATAACTTCTTCACTTGGTGCGATTTAATTAAAAAATAAAATCTACGCAATCTTCATATATTTACGCGTTATACTCGTACGAACACGAATTGCACCTCAATTAAATATTATTTATTCCACCGAAGACTGTTCTCGCGCATTTTATCTGTTCTAGTTGGATTGGAATCATTTTCCATGCTAATTATCGAAGAATCCGCGAACGAAACTATTTCATCGAACTTCAAACGGGCGCCGATGCGAAAAATCGAACGTATCCGCTGTTTAATGGACGGGGACGGTCCTCTAATGAGGGGACCTGCGAGAGACAGCACGAGCGCGGATCTCTTCCCCCTCGATCAAGTCGATTATGAAGATTTCCCAGTTGTCGTAATCGCCAGTTCCCGTTCGCAGATTAAATTACTCGCGCGCTTCGACACGGCCAACTGGAGAACCGGTATACATATACAGTGACAGTCAAAAGTGCATACGAATTGCAACTCATCGAACAACAAGAATCGAAACCATTTGTTTAAATACTTTTACGTAATGTACATCAGGTGTTCTTTGCAGAATCGATTTAACTGTTCCAGTCATATGAAACATGAAGGCTAAGCGTTTCGAATAGAAGTCACATCCAGTTCACTTTTGACACTCACTGTATGCAATGAGAAGAGAAAACAGAGTTGCACGTATGCAGATTCAGGATGTCGCAGTTTGCGAATGAAACGTGGCTCGATTATCGAATCGGTCGCGAAATGAAAAAGAAACTACGAGGAAACGTATTTCTTAAAAAGATACCAAAGCTTCTTCGCGGGCACTGTAGGTGTTCGAACGGTGGTGGTGTTGCTTTCTATTGGGTCGGGTTCGGCAGGTACTGATAACGCGTCGCGTCAACCCGTTGACTTTATCAGGGATGCACGCTCTCCGACTGTTGTATTTTTTGCCCACCGGCGTGCGGTCCGGATTATTTTGTCACGCGTGGAATAAAATTAGCACGGATTTATAGGCTAATAACGTCGATATCATCACCGGATAAGCTTCGACCGGAGATTTTTATGGGATCAAGGAGACAAGTGCACCGTGCGCTTATCAGATAAGATTTCCCCGGAACGATCCGTTTTCTTCGCGTGTTCCGACCTATCGATGCGTTATCGCGCGCGCATCACTCCGCTTCATGAACTCGTTTCTCGGAATATGGCCGAGCATCGTGCGTTTACACCGAGATCCCGATCGGATTTACGTCCAAGCGACGAGTTACGATCTCAGATACACCGCGAATTTGTACGTTCCTGCGATTCGATCTTATCGATTTTATTTATTTACCTACCGATTATCCGGATCAAATCGGCAACGAGCAAGACGAATATCGATGCCAACAGGAATTACAATTTTTATAAGTTTCCTTATTTATCAATTCCCTAGCCGTACTTCAATCGAGTATATTTAATCGGATCACCAGTTGACTCGAGGAGGAGGAATACATTTTCATAAATTAAACTCGTTCACGCGATTTCGGCGAGCCGTGCGTGGGCGTATCCCCTAATCTTGCAGACGAGACGTAATTAAGAGATCCATTACCCGGGCCACTTCGGAATTATTATCTATTATTAATTCAATCGACTTGCTCCTTAATTACGGATGCGAATCAAAAGCGAGTACCTTCGAATTTTCGATTACTTGCTCGTGCAAATCATTCAAATCTGATGTATACCAAACAATAAAAAATATGTTACCTCTGATCGGATACAAAAATGTACTCATTAAACTTTGCAAATCGTGTAGGTCTCACAGAAATTCAATGAAACGTCGGGTATTCTTAACCAGTTTATTCCGCTTAGCATTCAATCCTATCGCGTTCTCGACTTTGGATGGTAGAAACCTATCACGCTTACTCGGCTCTCGACATAAAGTCATCGCGAGCAACGTCTCGGTTTGAATATAAAAGAGAGTGCCCCCAAAGCTTGATTTACGCCGGTTGATTCAGGATATCTCGCTCACGACTCAAATCAGTTGCGACCCATTGAGACGTACTCTGATCTTTAAAGGGAAACTGGTTGGCAAAAATCATTTACGAAAAACCGTAGAATTGTTCTCGTTTCAATGGTAACTTAAAAGGAAGAGAATATTGAGTAATAGAATTTTCATTTAAGTCGTACAATTTTTGTGTAATGAAACTTGTGCATTAGTTAAATGGATTTTATCAATCGTGATAAAATATCAATTTCATTTTACTTACGATTCGAATATATGATTTTGAAAATACCTTGAATCCCACGAATGGCCGCGCGACGAATAAAAACGGATCAGCGACCGTCGAGTGGATTTGAAACGCCTTAAAACCCTTAGTGTAAAACCGTGGATATAACTTTGTCTCAATTTCAAAATAATCTGTATCATAAATGAATCGACCTGGCCGTAAATTGCACTCTCCTTCAATTTCTTACTTTGCCAGTCATGCATTTAGTTGTATCTTCTCTCCAAATCGAAACAACGTATTTCCAAGGCTCGGTTTCAAGTAAGCTGAAATCATTCCCTATCACTTTCAATCCGGCAATTGGAGAAAGTAAAAACTAAACGCGAAGCTTTATAATAAAAACGTCTTTCAAGATTTATATAAAAAATTGTCTCTTATATAATACTCAATTTCTATTTGTATATGTATTTCTGTTTCTATGTATTCGTATTGATCGACACTACATAGTTACGTGCAGGTGAATAATCAGAGATGATTAAAATTAAATCGAACGCTTCGTTATACGAAAATTTCTTTAATTTCGAACCATGATCGAATCCTTATCAATCGTATAAATAAGAAGGCATTCGGTTTCTGACACAGCGTTTATCGCCGGACGCTGGGATTCATTAAGGAACTGTATCCCGGCGTACGTTTCAACCTGCTTTAGATACCCCGTCCGCCTAATGACCAGAATTCGGGCACCCACGTGGCACGAGAACTTCGCTCGTTAAACGGTTCGCCCGAAAAATGAGAAGTGAAATGAAAAAAAAAAGAACTCGTTATTTCCGCGAACCGGTCGATCGGGTCGACACGCGTGTGAGCCACCGATATCTGATCGATTCGAACGCGGGTTGTCACCAGGTGAACATAAGCGAGTCAAACCTGACCGATAACGAGACGCTGGTTAATCTCCTGCACAGACTGATTTGTCAAAGTCTCGCGTTGTCGCCCGTACCGCTTGTCCATTGACTTTATTCGCTCGATTTATCAGTGGAATTTCACAGTGGCTGTGACACCGCACGCATGTGCCAAAATGCATTTATATGTCTATCGAATATTCGCAATTAAAAATTGTGTCGCCTGAACATTAACAAGATCGTTCAACCTGCAAGGTTCAAAATAAAATGTCTATTACTTATTATTCGAAGTTCAACGCTGATATCGACGACGCCTGGAACCCGAACCAGGACTATTTGGGTTCCCATTAACGCGACTAATTAATCCAAATTTTCGGAGAACAGGTAGAAAGCGATCGGGGAGAGTGTAAGATATTTATGAAAGGGTCCGGTTATCTGCTTCTAAATTCATCCACGCGGTTATCTAAACGGAGACCGGATCGTAATTTACGTTCGGAACGAATATCAGCGCGTGGAATCCTCCTACTTGGTCCGGCAATGGTAATTTCCAACAGCCCCGACCATAAATTCTTGGTCACGGTGGTACGTACCTACTGTGTACGTACCTATCGTCCAGTCTAGTTGCCGGAGATACGCTGAATTTACTCGCGATGAATCCGCGTACGCCGCGTTCCACGATCTATCGAACAAATTAGCGCCGCGATAACGCGGACAGAGACGGATCGGCCGTGTAATGCCTTCGATGGGTTTACGTACCTCCGCACAAAGGAGATCGAAGGATTTTACAGAGTCTGTTGCCATGGTGAATTACATGGCACAGAAATATTCTTTAAATAGTATACATATAAAGTATATACAGTTTGGGACGATGATTCCTGGCCGGCTAGTGTTAATTTCCCCTAAGAGGTCAAAATTCAAAAAGAGTAATAAGTTTTGTTTTTTCAATACTCGATCTGGCATCGATGCTGCTGGATTTTTACATCATTTTAACCTTCTGAAATGAATTTCAGACAAAAGATTTAGCTCTAATTGTCATCATTAGCTATTGTCTATCAACACAAACTCGTCGGTTATAAT